CTTGTCCTGAGTGGCCTCGGACTTCTGGTTTTAGTGCTGAAAGTCCTGTAAGCCTCAGATCGAGGCTTTCTTCTTCGTGGTAGGACTAGAAATAGCTGACAAGGGAATAACATTCTTGTGATGTGAGTTCATGTGTTTCGGGCTGAGTCGGTATCCCACTTACTATCATCTTGCAGAATAAGCCACACCTTGGGCCCCACCACACAAGCCCACCTGAGTTTCCAAACATCATACATGTACAGAAAAGCCATCATGTGTGTGCCAGTGGGACTGTCCCCAAAGAAAAACCACATTTGTACATGCCCAACAAGAGAAACGATGATTAAACCATGGCACAGCTAAAATTACTCTGTATTATACAACCCTCAAAACATCGTGTTTTGAAGTATCTTTAATGAGAGGGAAAAATGATCGTGATAGAACGTCCGGTTTAAAAAAAAAAAAAAAAAGCAGACTAAGATGTCCTCAGTGAGTGAGTGGATAAATAAACTGAAGTACATCAGGACAGCAGAATATTATCCAGTGCTAAAAAGAAATGAGTTAGCAAGCCATGAAAAGACATGGAAGAGACTCAAATGCACGTTGCTAAGTGAAAGAAGCCAGTCTGAAAAGGCCACATACTGTGTGATTCCAACTATCTGACATCCTGGAAAAGGCCGAACTATGGAGAAAGTAAAAAGATTGGTGGTTGCTAAGAGCTGGGGTTGGGAGGAAGGGTGTGTAGCTGGAGCACAGGGGGTCTTTGGGGCAGTGAAGCTACTCTGCATGGTACTATAACGGTGGATACATATCCTTATACATTTGCCTAAACCCATAGAATGAACAACACCAAGAGAGAACCCGAAGGTAAATTATGGATTTGGGGTCACAATGATGTGTCAGTGTAGGTTCACCAGTTTTAACAAATGAACCACTCTGGTAGGGGGTGTTACTAATGGGGGAGGCTGTGCATGTGTGAAGCAGGGGGTATGTGGGAAATCTCTGTACCTTCCTTCCTACTGTGAACCTAAAACTGCCCTAGAAAAATAAAGTCTTTAAAAATTTTTAAAGCGGGGGCGCCTGGGTGGCTCAGTTAAGCGTCTGCCTTCAGCTCGGGTCATGATCCCAGGGTCCTGGGATAGAGCCCCACGTTGTCAGTCTCCCTGCTCAGCGGGGAGTCTACTTCTCCCTCTCCCTCTGCCCCTCCCCACCCCCACCCCCTCCTGTGTGCTCTCTCTCTTTCTCTCAAAAAAATAAATAAAATCTTAAAAAAAATTTTTTTAAGCGGACTAGAAAATCACATATAGTAAGACCTTAGTTTTATAAAATACAGAGAAAGATAAAGAAATACACTGTAATATTAACAATATTTGGGGCACCTGGTTGGCTCAGTCAGTTAAGCGTCTGCCTTCGGCTCAGGTCATGATCCCGGGGTCCTGGGATTAAACCCTGCGTCAGGCTCCCTGCTCAGTGGGGAGCCTGCTTCTCCCTCTCCTGTGCCCCCTGCTTGTGCTCTCTCTCTCTGTCAAATAAATGGGTAAAATCCTTAAAAAAAACACAAAAAACAAAAAACAAAAAACAAACCAATATTTATCTCTGAGTGACAGGATTCTGGAGGGATTTTTTAATTCTTCACATTTACTTCTGTATTTCTTATTTATATCTATTTCTATATTTTCTAAGAAATTTTAGCACAGAACATATATTACTTTTATTACCAGGGAAAGAAGTGGAATAAAAATTATACATATAAAAAGTACTAGGAAGAAAGTAACCAGAACTGATTAACCCCAGCCTTTGAAAATTGTTTTTTACAGCTGTGGCCCACTGGGAGGGAGGTTTTCTGGCTGACTGGCTGACTGGCTGTCACCTGCTTTCCTTCTCCTCTAGAGAAGGCCCTTGCAGAGAAGGCAGGGCTTGTCCAAGGTCACGGGCTTCTGTTGCCTCTGCATCCCATCTAGTGAGGCTGCCCTGAGCTGTCCCCTGAACCTCAGGCTCTGGCCTCCAGGGCCTATAGGGCAAACACAATATCCCTTTCCCCCTTTTCTTGATTTTTCTATAATTTGGACTGTGGTACTCAATAACTTCCCCAAGACGCGTGTTACTAACTAGAGGCAGGGTGGCATCTAACACAGGAAGTCCCCGCTTTGGACCCAAGCAGCCTGAGCTGGAATGCCTGCTCACCACCTACCAGCTGCGTGGCCTTGGGCACATCGCTATACCTCTTTCCACCACAGTGGCCTCATCTCTATCACAAGGATTAAGTGAAATAACGTTCCAGCACAGATCCCAGCACAAGGACCTCAAGTGGGGCTCAACTTATATCCATTATGTACATTCACTACACAAGAACTCAGTTCTCTATCTCCCTCCCACTAATTCAAAGAGCTTCCCAAGTGGCAGGGGCAAAATCTCTCCTCTACCACCCATCCAGGTCTCTGCTCCTCCTCGGTCAGAACCCCTCAGATGACTGCTGAACCACAGAGAGGATGGCTGAGAGGCAGCCCAGTGGCCCCATGGAACTACCCAGAAGAGATGGCAGGGTGGGAGGAGATGGCTAACTTGAGACCCGCACTTGCCAGCCTAAAAGAATCTGATCATCAGGTATGCATACACAATAAACGAGGGCCCTGTTTAACTGCAATACACTTGTGAGCATTATGTCCATTTCTTCATAAGGAAAACAAATTGATCCTGAACACTCAGTACCTCCCAGCATCATTCTGGATGCAGGACACACAGTGGAGAATGAGACAATGTCTCTGCCCTCACAGGGCTCAGTCTCCACTCCTGCTGGAGGTGTGAGCTGCATCCATCCACCTTCATTACCAAGACTTGGGCAAAGGAGGCAGGGCCATTTGAGAAGCTGAGAACCATACTTGTAGTTCAGCCCATCAGGCCAGGCATCCAGCTTCCTCTCACAGAGACTCAGAACCCCTCATCCTGAAGCTATGAGCCCACTGGTCCCCCTGACAATCGGTGCCAAGAAGAAGGCATTAATTATCCTCATCCAAGACTAAATTCCCCTGCTCCGTCATTTGGTGGCTGGGTGACCTTGGACAAGTCATTTAACATCCCCTGGTCCTCGTGTCCTCCCTGTAAAACTGGTTAAGATACCACCCTCACAGCATTACTGAGGAGAGCACAAGAAATCCCGTGTGGAAAGCCTTAGGCAGAGCATCGACAGACAGTCAGTGCTTCCCCCACTGCCCTCTCAGACGTGGTACCAACTGGAGATGAACAGAGCATGGTGGTTAGGAGCAGAGCCTCCAGAGACAGGCTGCCTGGGGTCAAATGCCAGTGCCACCTCTCACCAGCTGTGTGACCTCTCTATGCTAAAATGTCCCCACCTACAAGATGAGGATGTAACAATAATCCCTACCCTAGAGGGGTGTGGATGCTGAATTACTATACGGGAAGTGCTTAGAACAGGGTTCGATGCACATTAAGAATGGTGTGCTTGCTATTTTTTTTCTTCTTCCAGGAAACATGTTTATGGGATCATTGATCATGTTGTAGCAATTAGCACCTGATTGTATCTCCCAGATGACCTTTGAGAGTAGGCAGGAATGTCCCACTGACTAGAAGCATAAAGAAAGTTACATTAGCTGTGAATATAGTCACCCCCAACACAGACACACACACACACACACACACACACACACACACACACACCACTGTATCGAGGATAACCAAACATGACAGTGACAACTGTATTGTCCGTTTGGTCAGAAATCACAAGAAGCAAGAGTACCCTCTCACTCACAACTATGTTGACTCAGCCATTAGAGTCAGACTTGGGTTCGAGTCCTAGAAACTGCTCTTCCTTAGTGGTCTGACCTTAGGCAAGTCATTCAACCTGTGTTTCCTCCCCGGAAAAGGGCTGGGTGAGGTTGCAGGGGAGTTAACCCCAGCTGTCTCACCAGCATGTCATTGCCCCCTGGTGGGGATGGTGGAACCCTTCGGAGACTCTGACTCCCTAGTGTTTCCAGCCAGAACAGTTCTGGGAAGCTTCCTCCTTTCCCCTGCAGGAGATCCAGTTCAGACAAGCCCGTAGGCTGCTTTACTCCTCCCACCCACCAGACCCCCAAAGAGCAGCCTGAGAGTGTTAAGAGGACACCAGCTGCTGAGCTCTGGGAGGCAGGAGCACTGGCCACAGGTCCCAAACCCTGTACTCTGTTGACTTAAACTGCAGAGCATCTCCAGGATTTCACAAACATTTCCTGGGCAGGAGGGAGCAAGACAGCTAGGCCTTTCTCTGCCCTCTGCGCCCCGGCCTCTTCTTTGGAGAAAGCCAGCCTGAGTGCCGTTTATTTTAGGATAGCTTTGACACCGAGCTCCTGGAGGTGAGCATGGCTAGGGACACAGGTTGGGCACAGGTACTCCCTCAATGGAGGAGGGAAAGGGCACAGGGGGCAAAGCTGGACACAAAAGGAGAGATAGAGATAGAGTTGAAAACAGGGGCTGTGACCAGAAAACACAGGACAGGAGGGGCAGGGACAGAAACAGGGGCAAGTCAAGAATGGAGACAGGGCTGGGCCCACATAGGGTCCAAAGTGGACCGGGCTGCGGCACAGGGTTGGGTGGGGGGGCAGAGGGAGGCACAAGTAAGCACAGAGCCGAGCTGGGAAAGGGGCAGCAGGCAATGGGGAGAAAGCACTGCCCAGAGGGCTTACATAAGCTGAGGACCCACTATTCCCTAGAGGGGTGCACAGGAAATCTGGGGGTGGGCTCTCCAGTCAGATCCCACATTTTCACCCTAGCCTGTGCATGCTTTCCTCCAACAGCAGCAGACAGAGCACGGTTTAGTTAAGTTAGGACTGGCAAGATTCACTTCTTATTTAAAAATCATGACAGCAACAATAAAAACACTCAGCTGAAATGGCACCCAACAAAGCCAACTCCCCTGAAAGTTAAAGTCAAGCGCCCCCATCCCAGCACCCTGTACCTTTAAGGAGGAGAAGGGTTCCCTCGCGTCCCAGCTGAAGAGCAGGTTATTCTTAGATATAGCAATGACTTACCTAAAACTGAGTTATTCCCCTTTCCTCCTCTGGCCAGCCTCTCTTCACTCTGGGGAGCTTTTACCATTTAAGGTCAATGTTACATTTGGCTCTGGAGCTCCGAGCTGAGAAGCCTCTGGCTGCTGAGCCTCAGCCACCGCCTCCTCCTAGAGGGGCTGGGACTTGGAGCCTGGAGCTCCTCGGAGAGCCCCCTCTGGCCCCACTCAGGGGGCTAACAGCAGGGGAAGCTGACCAGGCCAGCCCCAGAGCTCAGGGCAGGGTGGGCCTGTGAGGCAGGAGCTTGCCCTGAGTACCTCCCATGGGCACCCACACAGTGGATGGCAGTGCCCATGGGCAGCCTGCATCACTGGGCACTTTCCTGGCCAGACGGGGACCAAAGAAACTGCAGATCTGCCTCCCAGCCTGGAATCCCCAGCAAGCATGTGAGGCTGGACAAGACCCTGGCCGCAGGCCAGGAGAAAGTGGGAACACTTCCTGTCCCGGGGATTCATGGGCGGGGGCTGCTCCCACCTTAAACCCTTGGGATTACCAGAGAGAAGGGCCTAGGAGGTTCAGCTAATCCCAGACCTGGCAACAGCCCCAGGGGCTTCAATCCTTGCTGCCGCACTCAGCAGTCCTATGGTCTTTGCTTTGTGGAGTTCTAGTCTCCTCATCTCTAAGACAGGGATAACAGCGATAACACCTAACTCAAAGAGTTGCAGGGGGCCTAAAGGAGACCATAGTGAAGGCTTAGCACGGTCCCAGCATCTCATTCCATTGATCAGCACATATTCATTTCCTGCCCCTGCCCAGACGCAGGCAAGAACAGGCTGTCTCCCTCCTGGAAGTCCACATGCCGACCCTACTTACTACTCACCCACCTTGGGTGCAGTGCCCACCTTGGGCCAAAGTCACAGAGCTCTAGATTCTGTGCAAGTCACATGGGGGCTCCAGCCCTCTTCTGAGGTTAGAGGCAGCTCAGAAAAGCCCTGGGTAGGGTTGCCAGATAAAATACAAGACACCCACTTAAATCTGAATTTCAGATAAACAGGATATAACTTTTGTAGTGTAAGTATGTCCCAAGTATTGTACAAGACATACTTGTTATATATATGATATTTGAAATTATCTGAAATTCTTTTTTTTAAAGATTTTATTTATTTATTTAACAGAGAGAGACACAGCGAGAGAGGGAACACGAGCAGGGGGAGTGGGAGAGGGAGAAGCAGGCCTCCTGCCGAGCAGGGAGCCCGATGTGGGGCTCGATCCCAGGACCCTGGGATCATGACCCGAGCCGAAGGCAGACGCTTAACGACTGAGCCACCCAGGCGCCCCTGAAATTATCTGAAATTCTAATTGAACTGCACGTCATGTATTTTTATTTGCTAAGTCTGGCAACTCCAGCCCTAGACCATCACTTGCCACCCCAGAAATCATCCACCAGTTCTGAGAGTTATAGAGATTGGTGCTTCAAAGCCTGTGCCCTCAAGCCCTCCCGGTGACCACTGTCTGGCTTTATACAGCCCTATTCCCAGCTCCTGGCCATGGGTCAGCCACCCCAGCCATGGCAGCCTTTCTCCACCAAACCTGACACCCTGGGCCTCCACCCCAATCCTTACCATAGGCATCTAGTCCTGGTCTCCCTGGTTATTATGACAAAGATTCCTGACGAGAATAGGGTTCATGCTGTCTGTTACACCCATAAATAATAGTATTTTTGTAGATGGAACCAGAAGAAACTGTCCCACGCACTAGTCCTGCTTTCTCTCAGGTGTCTACACCTATCCATTTGATGGGTATAGGCTGCCACTAACAAAGCCACATCGTGGTAACTACTAGAATTTCAGGTATAGGGACTAGAAGGAATTTATCAAACTGTACAGTACTGTTTCTCTAACTTCATTGTGTATGAGAATCCCCAAGCATGAAGCTCCTTAAACCCCTCTTCCAAAAGTTCTAACTCCATGGATCTACAGAGGGACCCAGGAATCTGCATTTTAATTAAGGCCCTCAGGTGACTCTTATGCAGTTGGTCTAAGGACCCCACTTTGGGGAATGATGCTCCAAGGGTTGATCTTGTGACTCTAGCAGGAGTTACTCCAGAGACAACTAGAAACTTAGGTTGAAAAGGAATGGAAGGCATTGTGTACACATGAGGGTGTGTGTGGGAGCAAGGTGTGGGTGTGTATACAAACCATCCATTGAGCACCTGCTATATTCCAGCCTCTGCATTAGATGCTCTACACGAAAGTATGTATGTATCCTCACAATTGCTCTGTGAAATAGGATTATTGTACTTTTCCTTCCAAAAAGAAACTGAGACATGAAGAGGTGAAAGCCTGACATTCCACAGCTGGGAAATGGTAGAGTTAAGGGGTGAACTTAGGTGGGTTGGCCCTAAAGCTCTTTCTCCCTCAGCCAGGGTGTCTTAAACTAGGGTTCATGGATATCTCTCAGGAGTTTCTGAGCCAATTGAAATTGTATGTGAAACACTGTATGATTTGTGTTTCTCTTGGGTCCAGGTCCATAGCTTTCACCAGTCTCACAAATAAATACCTTTCAAAATCACTGCACTAATACAAGCATTTTATAAAACACATTACTGGTGGATGTGTAATATGGATCAAGCTCTATAGAAGACAATTTAGCCTTCTCAAGATTATAAGGCTATAATCTTAGCCTTATATATATATAAGGTTTATATAAAAAAAAATCCACCTTTTGACCCAATTCCACCTCTAGGAATTTATTCTATAAACACACTTGGGAAGTGACAAGTGAACAAGATTATTCATTACAGCTTTGTCTATAAAAGCAATAGGATTGGAAACAACATGAATGTCCATCAATAGGGGCCATAAAAGATGTCGGGGTACAGGGGGACCTGGGTGGCTTGGTTGGTTAAGCATCCGACTCTTGATTTCAGTTCAGGTCATGATCTTGGGGTCATGATATTAAGCCCCACACCTGGCTCCATGCTGGGCATGGAGCTTGCTTAAGATTCTCTCTCTCCCTCTCCCTTTGCCTCTCCCCCCTCCCTCTCTCTAAAAAAAAGATGATGTGGTACAGCCATAACAGACGATAAGGAAGCTCTTTGTATAGTGATATTAAAAACCTCCAAGATATGGTAAAGTGGGAAAATAAAATAACAGGACAGTATATAAATATACACATGCACAAATATACTTATGTTCACACATACATATTCACAAGTACATGTGTGTATGTGTGCACACAATCTCAGGAAAATTAGCCCAAGAAACAAATAACATTAACAACAGTTGCCAATGGGGAGGGAAGCAGAGTGGCTGGGGCAGAGAATATCCACTGTAGACCTCATTTACATATTCAAAAATTTGAATCATGAATAAATCATATGTTGACATTCAAAAATAATAATGAAATAAAAGCCTTGCTATGAACAGGGATTTAATCAATTCAACTTTCTTTCAGTGTGGCTTCCTCCAAGTGTCAAAGAGTATTGACACGAGCGTAACTAAAGGTTATTTTTGTTGCTTTTATTTTTTATTTTGGAATAATTACAGACACACAGGAAGTTGCAAAAATAGTACAGAGTCCCATGTACCCTTTACCCAGCTTCCTCCAGTGGTGACATCTTGCATGGCTGTTGTACAATGTGAAGACCTGGAAGTTGTCATCAGTGCATTACTATTGACTCAACTACAGATCTTATTCCAAAGGCTATTTTTAAAATATAACCTTTCCACAGCTCATAAATTCATTTAAAAATGTTTATTGAGCACCTTTGGTGTGCCAGACCCACACCAGGGACACTTCAGACCCATCCCTGGGTAGGGACACCTCAGATGTATCCCTGCCCCCATGGAGTATAGACTAGTGAAGGTGACCCCCTTACTCAAGTGAGAATAGCATCACAGAAGTCCAGGAGCCAGCAGTACACAGGGAGTTCTGACCAAACCTCTAAAAAAGGAACCATGTCCCTTGCTGTCCTGGTCACGGAGCTTCACAGCTTGCCTGAAAGCTGACTTTTAATCCTTAAAAGAGCATGAGCAATTACTTGGGCTATTTTTATCCTCGTTCCTGGAGCCACACAGGGATTTGGCCTCACTCTACCAAAGTCTTCAGCTCATCACTCATTCCCATCAGAGACAATCATATGTCCTCAGCATAAAAGTGGTGCCCAGCAGAGGCACACTGACACACAGCTGGGGGAAGCTCTCCCAACAGACCATTTGACTCCAGGCCATGAAAGAAGTTTAAAACTCCCAGACCAAAAGTTCGTCCTGGGACTGAAGGAAGCCAAGCCTGGAGAAGCAGCATCTTGCCAAAAACACTGCCAGCTCAGAGACTGGCAGTTGGGGTGACCATAATGGAAACTGAGACCTCCCTGCCCCTTTTATGCTCGGGGACTCCACTATGCCCAGCACTTAGTAGGTCCGGGATGAGGAAGCAAACAAGTAAGTGGCCAATCAGTGAGAATTGCACCCAGGTGTCAGTCAGATGACAATGACAGGTATCATTTACTGCCCACGGTGCCAGGCACTGTGTCAACCACTTTATATGTAAGGTCTAGTTCAGTCCTCACTAAATCCATGTGATGTATGGCTTCTCACCCTCACATCCTAGAGGAGGAATCTGAGACACACAGAGGTCAAGGAGTGTGCCCATGTCTCACAGTTTATAAAGCTAGATCTTCCTGACTCTAGAGTCCCTGGAGGGTTGGGGACAGCCAACAGAATGGGAACATAAGGCATCTTTTCTCCTTCCCAGGATCCCATTGAAATGATAGCAAAGGACTCCTTAAAAAGAAAAGGAATAAATCTTAGTCACAAAGAGAATTAGGAGGAGGCATGAGTGAGGACATTTCTGGAACTGGCAAGAGGAGGGAGGAGGGGAGCCTAATGAAGGAGGGAGGGAGCGGCCTCAGCCCAGCGTAGAAGACCCATGGAGAAGGGGATCTACTGCTCTGGTACTCCTGGGAGGCTCTGTACCTGAAGAGCCAGTTGTGACAAATACAGAAATGAGATATGGAGCCAAGCGGATAGTTCAAAGTCTTTAGAGAGAAGGGGCTGGAAAGGAACTACCTCGGGTAACTTTTGTACACAGCATTTGGACTAAATGCCTTCAGGCTAAGGGAAAACAAGAACTATAAACAAATATTGAGTAGATTTCTTTTTCATATGGATTATCAATTCTCAAAGTACTTCCTGTGCATTCCAGGACTAAGCGTATTAGTAAATATGTTGTTAATAATGAGAATCAAGTTTTTCACTTGTGAGAGGAGGGAGCTATGAACACAGAAAGGAGGGAAAATCAAATAAACCACGTGTGCTGGGCTGAAACCATGGGTATGGCATGGACTAGATTGGTAAGTAGGTAGATAGAGGGGGAGAGAGAGAGGG